TATAACCTCTATGATTTAAACACAACTTTTATTTTTCTTAACTAACTTAAAAAAAATTGGAAAAATTGCGCATCAATTTTATTTACTCCAAGCGATAAAGATACGCCACTGCATAAATGCCTCTTAAAATTATAAAAATATCCCATGTTCTTTATAGAATAATATTCCTTAATTTTAAGTGTTATTATTTTTTATTACTTTTTAGGTATCTGAATTGTCAGGTGATAGTATATCAAAATGTATTATGGAAGAGCAGGTAGAGAGAACCTTAAGTGATATTCCTACTGAATTAAAATCTGTCGGATACGTGAGTTAATCATAAATGGCTCTTATAATTATAAAATTATCAATGTTTTTTATATAATAATATTTCCTTTATTTTTAAGTGTTGCTTTTTATTATTTTTAAGATATCTGAATTGTCATGTGATAGTAAATCCAAATGTATTATGGAAGACGAGATAGAGAGATCATTAAATGACATTCATATTCCAAAGTCATCTGTTGAATATGTGAGTTAGGGTCAGGGTTAGTACAAACAATAAACTTTATGATTTTATAAACTCGCATTATTTTTTGTTTCATTCAATAATTTTAATAATTATTTAATGTGATTCATTAGTTATAAGTTACCTTTAGATAGATGTTGAATCAACTGAAGTCTCAAATATTGCTAATCATTCAGATGAAGTTTCATGGTTGTCATGTGCTGGCCAATTTCAAAACATAATCTCGAATTTAGTTGAATGCAAAATAATATTGAAAAAAATGAAAACAGATCCAATAGTGTTTCTTTTAGAAAGTCGGCAAATTATTATAAAATATAATCATTATAAAACATTTATTAAAAATTATTTTAAACATTTATTCAAAGTGTGAACTATTTTTAAAAACATCTAGTATTATTTTAAATAACATTTCTAAGCATTCTAAAGAGATACCAGATCACGGATCTAGCTATTCTATTGAACATGATCCAGGTAAAAGAGGTGTAATTAAGACATTTTCTCAAAGATAGCATCTTTTAGCATTAAGTCTGTATCAGCCAAAACTAATTAAGTATCCAATTAATATAAAGATCAGTTAGCGGTTTGTGTAAAATAGATAAATCAAAACAACAATGTTTTAATCCTTCCTGGTATAACGAGTATCCAAAGTTGGAGTATAGTTTAACTAAATATTCTGTGTATTGCTTTATTTTTTCTTTATATTTTAAAGGAGCAGGAGGAGAGTTTTCTAGTAATGCTTGGGTGTGGGATGGTGTTAAAACATGGTACAAAATGAAAAGTCGGGGTAAGTCAAAATTGGTAAATTGGAGCAACACTTCACATCTTTATCCCACAAAGCTTCTTTAACAGATGACTCAAGTTTTATGAAGAATTTGTTTACATTGATGTAATCTTAAATAGATCTACATGACAAAATTTGATCAAACTGGAGCATGAAAAAGAGTTTAACAGTCAAATTGTCTTAATTTTGTTTGATGTTGTACGAACACTATTAAGACAAGGGTTAGCGTTTCGTGGAAACAACGATGAATCAAATGGTAATTTTAATCAAATTATTCAATTAATTTCAAGACACAATCCATTAATAAAGCAGTGGGTTAACGATATTAAAATGCGTTCTTATAAGGTTTCTTATAACGGTCCTCGCTCTCAAAATGAATTGATTGAAATATTGGGTAGTGGCTTAAAAAAATTTAGTTTATTTTCGCTAATGGCTGATACAACCCCAGATGTCTCACATAAAGATCAGTTAGCGGTTTGTGTGCGCTACGTCAACAATGAAGGAAAAGCTGTTGAAAGACTACTTGAATTAAAATAAGGAGTAGATAAAACTGGACTTGGTACCGCAGAACACATTTTTAAAGTATTAAACAAGAATGTTATAAACACAGGAAATTTAGCGTTTGAGTCGTATGACTTTGCTAGCAATATGTCTGGGGAAGTAAATGGTGTCCAAGCCCAACTTTCTCAATTAGTAGGGGATAAAGTTTTATACATTCCTTGCCAAGCCCATAAAATAAATACATTTATTGAACATGGTTGCAATGCTAGCATAGTTGTATCGATTATGATTGATAATTTAGAGAGTTTATATGTATTTTTTTCATCTAGTACTAAACGTTATGGAATATTGAATAATGAAATGAACAGTATAGAAAGTAAATTACATTTAAAAAACTTATCTAAAACAAGATGGACTGCAAGAGCTGAATCGATAAAAGCAGTTTGGAACTCTTTTGATGTTTTGTGCAGTAGCTTAAGTAAGGGGCCATCCATAAAGTACGTATGCAGGTATGGGGGGAGGGGGTTTCCCAAAAGCTTACGAACGCGTACAAGGGGGGAGGGAGTGTTAAAGATAGTGAGTAGGTACGCGGTTTGACTATCCTAAACATGATTTTATCTTTTTTAAAAAAAAGCATTGAATTTCACGTGTGTAACAAATTAGAATTGTGTTTTATTTTCTGACTTCAGTTACAATTTTTTTTTTAAATTCTTTATAAATAATGAGAGAAAAAAAAAATCGAGTTAATTTTGAAAAAAAAATGCGTACGTACGCGGAGGGGGTTGAAGGTTTTTAAAAGCGTACAGGTTCATACATGGAGGGAGGGGGATCCTAAATCAGTGATTTTACTGCGTACGTACTTTATTGATGCCCCCTAATATATATTCAAATCCTTTGTGTGATTCAAACACCAAAACAAAAGAACTTGGTTCAAAAAAAATACTCTACTCTTTTGATTTTATTGTATTTTTAATGTTTATAAAAAATATAATGTATAAACTAAATTTAGTTTATAAAAGCCTTAACTGAAACACTGGGGGAAAAAAAATTTATTTATCATTGATGCCACTAATCTAATTGATATTACTTTACAAAATTTAGAAGATATTAATTCAAATAACGAAGCTATGGATAACTTAATTGACATTGCAGTATCATTTGCTCGTATTCTTGGCATTAATCCGGAGGCTGCTTTTAATCTGCACCACCGAATCAGAAAGCTTCCGCAGTGACTTGACTCGAATTCGAATACGCAAGTAGTTTTTAATATGCACACATTTTACCGTAAAGATTTTAAATGTGTTTTATCTACGATCTAAAGTTTTTTTCTCATTACCTAAAGATAACTTAAAACATAATTTTAATTCATTTAAACCGTTATTTCAAATGCTGTCGTTTCCTTTAAAAAAAGAAAACATTTCTATCAATGATATTAAAGAAACTTTATTATTATTTCCAGCAAATATCAAAGAACTAAAATGTATAGACATTGATACCATTCAAGCAGAAATAGATATATTAATTGGGATTTGTAGAAACAATAATTCAAGTAAATTTGAAAACGTTATGAAGACATCTGAAAAAGTAAGAAATGTTTTACCATGGGCAAATCGAATTTGTAGATTAGCATTAACCGCACCAATAAGTGTAGCAACAAACGAAAGAAGCTTCAACAAACAAAACTTCGTATTGTTAAAAATTATTTAAGATCAAAAACAAACGATAGTAGATTGGATTTCCTAATGCTTTTGAGTATAGAGAAGGATCTAAATCTTACTGATATATGGGCACTGTGGGAAACATTAAAAAACCGCAGAGTATAACTCTAAAACTATGAAAATAAAAATGTATATATTTCATAAATATGCAAAAAAAAAAAAAAAAAAAAAAAAAAATTTAAGTCGGCATTTTTACTGGTTACAAAAATTTTAATCGGCAATTTATTGATTTTAACCCCCCAGGTTTTTTTCTTCAAGCTTCATCATTTCTTGAAAAGCTTTATCATTTTTCGAGAAGCTTCATCATTTCTCGAAAAACATTACTAGCTGCTATCCACGATTCCTCATTTCTCGAGAAACACTAAGCTCTAAGAATACTGGTTATTTAGGTACCGATCTAAACTATTCAAGAAAAACTGAAAATTGTCTAAAAATAAAAACTACTGTTAATGACATTTTACAATACACCTTGTGTCTATATCAATGAAGAATGAATGTATGAAAATTCTTTTTGCATATGTTTGCGTATGCAACTGTAATATCTATTTTCGTGGCGGATACAGTCTTCAGACTGTATCCATTTTTTCATGCAAAGGATGAACGTAGTTTCTTTACTTCTATTATTTTGACCTTTCTCTCGTCGCTAAATGTCGTCGTCGTCGCTAAATGGGGTTTTTATTTTATCAATTTAAATTTAAAAATGCAATTTTCATTTTTTTGTCGATGGATTTTTTTGAAGCAATGACAGTGTTTAACATTATTAAATTTCTTCTTCTTTCTCATCTAAAAAAATAGTTTTCCCATAGATTGTATTTTCTGTTTATGCGTATTTCTTTCATTCAAAAACTCACAGTTTGTGAACAAAAGTTGACAAATGTGACAAACTATTTTTTTTACTTACTTCGTAAATGATGACTTGTGGTGTATGCAGGAAAAACTGGTGGTACTATGTCTGTAATAGAATAAAAAGGCAACAGTCATATAAATAACTACATACTTTACTAAAACCGGGAATATAAAAAAATTGACATATATCAAACTTTTTTTCACTGACTCGGAAGACTACTGACATTAAGTTTACTTCACTGACTCGGAAGACACTAACAGTAAGTTTACTTCACTGACTCATAAAAAAAAAGATACTGTAACGTTATATTCTTTTCTTTATTTATATTAAATATACAATTAATTTTTATTTATATATTGTCAAATATATAATATATACACATATTATAGCATATATATAATATATACACATATTATAGCATATATATATATATATATATATATATATATATATATATATATATATATATATATATATATATATATATATATATATATATATATATATATATATATATATTAATATTACATTAATATATCAAATAAAGTATAATATAACATATAAAAAAGTTATTATATGTATTTTGTATACAGAATATAGATCATCATTTTTTACTATTTTTTTATTGAAAATTTGACATAAAAATTTAACAAAACAAAAAACTTTATTTAAATTCATATAATGATTTCTATAATAATTTTATTAGATATTTAAAACATGCTTGCGCAAGCGTACAATCACGTTCAGCTCAATAATAATATATTCCGTATGCAACAGCTACACAAAATAACGATTCCTAAAACAAAAAAGGTTACAAAATTATATAAATGTATACACTACAGCTCAAAAGTTTGGAAGCAGTTGGGTTTTTTTACAAAAACATAGTTAAAAAATAATTTTATACCTTTATTCACAATGTAATTAACAATTACACTTTAAATTAAACTTTCACCAACTATAATCAACATCTGTCTGTCAATATCTTATTATATAACTAACTATCTGTCAATATTATTTATATTTTTGATTCATCAAAATGTCCACCTTTATTTTTAATCACAGCTGCGTGTGATTTTGGGGCATTCTATTTATTAATTTTGTAAAATATTCACAATCTAATGAGTACCATTCTGTTAGGTATTCCCACATGTGTCTAGCACTACTTGGAGATCTATTTTTAACCCTTCTATCCAACTCGTCCCAAACTAGCTCGATTGGTGACAAATCAGGTGATTGGGATGGCCATATCATAATTTCTATAAGTTTTTCTTGTTTTTTCTCATTTAAATAGGACATACACAATTTTGAAGCATGTTTCGGATCATTATCCTGTTGAAATATGAAATTTGATCCAATAATTTCATTTCCAGAAGGCAAAGCGTGGTCCTGCAAAATTTGTAAATATCCTTCTTTGTTAAGTTTGCCATCTATTTTTACTAATTTTCCTGGCTTATTATTTCCAAAACATCCCCAAACCATTACATTACCTCCACCATGTTTAATTGATGGCACTGTACACTCTGGCAAAGCTCTTTTATTCTTAGATCGTCGGACAAAAACTCTTCTGTTTGAACCGAAAATTTGAAATTTCGATTCGTCCGTCTAAAGTATATTTTTCCATTTTTCAAGTGTCCAATCTTTATGAGTTTTAGCCCAAGCCAACCTGTTTTTCTTATGTTGTTTTGTTAATTTCGGTTTTTTAGCTGCTACACATCCTCGGAGACCGGCAGAGTTTAATCGTCTTATAACTGTTAAAACTGACACTGTACTTGGACGAATTTCATTTAATCTAGCTGCAATTTGGGGGGCTGTTAAATGACGGTTTCGCTTTGAAGTTAATTTTAAAAATTGATCTTCATTTACTGTTGTAATTTTGGGTCTCCCACTATGTTTCCTGTCTTGATTACTGTTGGTTTCTTGTTGCCTTTTTAATGTATAATGAACCCCTTTTGCAGAAACACCCAGTTTTTTTGCAATTTCTCTCTCACTATACCCTTCACCTCTAAGTGTACAAATTGCACTTCGTTTATCAATTGTTAACTGTGATCGTTTTGCCATTATAAAATTAAAAAATAAAAATTTATCTAAAAACACCACTCGACTATAATTGGTTTAGCGCACTGTTATTAAAAAGATAACTTATCGGTCTGCTAATAGATAACTGACTGAAAGATGTTTACTAATAACTTTGGTAACATAATTTTACCGATTTCATGTTCAGACAGGTTCAGACGTGTTTGTTTTGTTTATTAGATAAAATGACTTCAAAGCGTCAACATAAATAAAAGTAGTTATATAAATCAGATTCGATTAAAAACATACAAAAGTATATTGACTTGTTAGAAATGAAGTAATTATATTATAAAAATCGATTTCATCAATATATTTCATCAATATAATTAACTGCTTCCAAACTTTTGAGCGGTAGTATATATATATATATATATATATATATATATATATATATATATATATATATATATATATATATATATATATACACACACAAAATGATATAACATAACATATAATGTCTATCATAGACAGCTTTACATGCTCTTTCATCTTGTTACATTCTCACACCAAGAGAATGTAACAAGATGGATACCCTATATCCATCTTGTTACATTCTCTTGGTGTTACAGTCACTTTTTCATAAATATGTACAATTTCTTGGAGAAAGTTAAGAACTAGCAACTTATAATGAACAAACTTCTAAAGAGCCAATAATGATGCCAAGATGCATCAGCATCATTAACTGTAGAAAAGTCTCTGAGCAAAAGTTTAAAGCAAAGGGCTTATGATTTCTACATCCAATTTAGACTGTCAGTGTCCATACAGGAAAAATAACAGCTGTAATTGCAACTTTTACATTTTAAGATGATACCTGCTGCACTCATTGTTTTTCTAATTTCCAGCTTATATAAATATTCCAAAAATATAATATTAGTAAATTTACTCATCGGTAAAACACCAATAAAATGCTCACTGATCTTCTCATTACATTCAAAGAATTCAAAAATGGCAAAAAAAAAAATGTATAGTGAAGCAGACATCTTGAGTTTTGTCACTATAAAAAGTGAAACGCCCATTTTAATGATGCCAGCAAAGGCAGCTTCAGATACTTGTTTATTATTTGGACATGAATTATTATCACACTTATGAATTATTATCACACTTATGAATTATTATCACAATTATTATCACACTTATAATAGGTTTTGATAGGTTTCAATTTGTATCTATTAACGGTAACACATCTTCTTTAGTAAAATGCACTACAGGTGTACCTCAAGGCTCTGTATTAGGACCATTGCTTTTCCTTGTATTCATTAACGACCTTAATTTATCATTAAAATATACAACTCCCTACCATTTTGCTGATGACACTAACTTACTTTAAATTAATAAATCATTAAAAAAAATAAACAAATATATTAATCATGATCTATCTAATCTAATTCAATGGCTTCGATCTAACAAACTGTCTTTGAATACTAGAATTTTTTAAAAAACATAAAAATGGCATGGTATATATTTATCAATATATACCATGCCATTTTTGGATCACATCTTAGGTATGCGTGTCAAGTTTGGGGACAAATCCGCACCCAAGAAATTTTAAGATTATCCAACTTACAAAACAAAGCATTAAAAATAATATATTTTCAGCATTATCAATCTAACTCCGATCATCTTTATTTTTTATCCAAAATACTCAAAATTAATGATCTAGTTCAACTGTTAAATTGCCATTTTGTCTTTAATTATAAACAAAAATGTCTACCCAGCACATTTACAAATTTTTTTACTGTTAGAGAAAGCTGTCGCTATCATCTACAATCTGCTAATAGCTATAATCTTCATGTACCAAATCATTCTTCTGTAAAATATGGTCAAAAATCCATAAAATACCAAAGTGTAAAATCATGGAACAGTCTACCTTCACCATTTAAATCAATTGACTCAACTACTAATTTCAAAAACTGTCTTTTTAACTATTTTTTAGCAAGATATTATACCTGAAGACTCTGAATTATATTATTATACTTTTATTATTACTACTTTCTTGATACCTACTAGTTTTATTATTAACTTTTTGTTCTAATATTTTTATTGTTATTATTAGTATTGATATTAATAATATTCTTCTATCTTTATTAGTAAATTGTTATTTTTATTTATAACATAATAAGTATTATTATTGCTTTTTTAATTTTTTCTTAAGTTTATTTACTACTTATACTATGTAATTGTTATTACCACTATTATTGCTATTATCTAATATTGATTGTATAATATCTTTATTATTATTGTTAGTATTATTACTAATAATATTCCTTTTCATCGTCATCTTATTATTATTGTTAATATTATTTCTATAATTATTATCAATACTATTATTATTGTTATTATGATCACTTTTATTGTAATGTTGCAGGTTTTTACTTTAGATTAGTACTTGTACTATTTGTAAAAGTCCTTGAAATTTTACAAATTATTTCAGAATATATTGAATTGAATTGAATTATGGCCAAATAAGTGTGATAATAATTCATTGAGTAAATAGGTTCAGATTTTTTACCACTATAATCGCCAATGAGCTGAACAAAGGTTTGCAAATTGTGGAAATGTGCCTAAATAACTTGTAATGAGAAACATTTTGATATAATAATAGTTACTCAGCGTAGTTAAGGCAAGTCAGTAAAATTTAAACCAAGAATTCCAATAAAATTACTAATTTTGACACTCTATAACTTAGGTTTTGAATGAGATGAAATAAATTTTAATTTTTCCAGGCCTGATTTCACAGGCCTGGAAATTATAGTTAATGCTAACATTTTAAATATACTGTAATTTTAACTTCAATCACGCAAAAAATTATTTGATTGTTAACCTTTTTTATAAAGCTTTTATATAGAAGCTTAAACTATAAAGAGAAATTTAGAATGGTATCTATAATACAACCTCAAACGTGTGTATTTGCAAAAATAGCTGCATATAATGCTTTTAACATAAAATAAATAAGGGATTTGATGTAAGTCTAAAAGTAATTCAAGAAAATATAAGCATCAGTATATGCAGTTTCAAAACCAATTTTAAATTGAAAACGACAATAAGTTTGTAGTACCATATGTTGTTTTTGTTTCAAAATACAAAAAAATTATTAAGAATCTGCGTTTTACGGGGAAAAAAAGTTCATCAACAGAAACTGAGGTTATGCAAGAATTTTCATTTGAAAGATGGTGCTGTTTAACAAAATAGTAAACAATGAATCATACGATAAAATATTGCTCTGGATGTCAAAATGACCTTAGGTTTAAGTATATGTTATCAAAGATCCCGAATCGATGCAATTTGTATCAATCTGTTGCATTAAAAAATGGTCTACAACTAAAAGAACTAATGTTAAATGAAATTACAAAATAAATAATAACAAAACTTGATGAAGAATACCAAATCAAATTTCAAACAACTTTTACAAAAACTTATTTCTAAATACTAAATTTAAATACAAGTCCTCAGATAAAATGCGCAAGCAAAAACAACATTCAATTAAAGATACTGTGACGAATATTGAAAACCAATAGGAAGAAACATCAGTTGTAAGGTAAATATAAATGTTTAAAAAAAAAACTTTAAAAGTTAAAAAGCAATTATATATTTTTGAAAATATAATTTTAGTTATTTTTCTAAACATTTAGAATATATGGAAATAATTTTCCTTTTGAACTAGAAATAAGAATAGACTAACTGCAAGTATGGAAACATTTGAGCAAGCAGAACAGCGATCTT